ATGGCGTAGTGGTTTAAGCGGTCGCCTCGCCGCTTGCTACTACGCTGAGGGTCGATCCCCACATGAGACGACACTTTATGTGATCCACAAATTGTTGTTCTGAGTCTGGGTGTTCTTTCTGTCCGTTTCATGTATGTTTGTAAAGTCTTCCGCGACACAGGATATATTGCTAGTGCGGGGTCGGCTTAAAAAATAAAGAAATATCTCACACATCTGCACACTGGGGCGTCTAAATATGCTAGTCATAGAATATTTGGTACTTCAGTAGTTTATGCAGCTTCTAACTTTTTATATTTCATCTGTTTAATAGGCTGTTGTTGCAAAAACAAAGTATATAAAAAAAATATTATTTTCCCTTAGTACTTCAACAGTCCATGATCCTAATCTCCATGAGTATAGGAGACAAACCGAGTAAAACCTCACGATGTTTGCCCAGCAGACCTGTTGCTGCGTAAGGCGGTACACCGATATATTCTTTACACTGACAAGTTTTGGCCATTACTTCCACTTTGAGATGCGCATGGCTTGCAGAAGAGTCAAGGTCAGGTCAGGGCAAGGCATGATAGCTACGCCTTTCAGAGCTGTGTATCCGGCTATAGCCTGTTCCTACAATAGAAGTCACAATACCAGGGCAATTCTTTGAATAAGTTTTGATTCTCCGAGCCTCTATTTACTGATGACCCAAATATTTATTTTATGTCTCAGGCTTCTCGACACATATGCATAATGCAACCTACATAATAAATATAATTATGCTAATAGAAAGAAACCAATTTTCCCTGCACATGCATAATCACATATCCATAAACAAATTAATAAACAATTTATTTTATAGCGACATAAACATGCAAATGATATTAAATTAACATAGTAATTATTATAAATAATCTGTAGATTTCTTAAGACGCCGACCTTTTAAGAAGACAGTACTATAATATTAAGCTAGTACAGTAAGACAGTATATAAAGTAAAGTCAACGAACTGAAAACATTTTTAGGGTTTTTACTGTGTATAAAACGAAACACAAATAAAATAAATAATGTGAAATACCTTACGATGCGTATTTAAATACTAAGAGTGGGTTATTCACGACAAAGCATCGGATAACTGTAATACAATTAAGTAGGTTTAGAATTAATGAAATGATTGAAGAAGTCGTTCGCACCAATATACAATATCGTAACTTTTGTGTTTACATATATAGTATTGTGTATAGAATCAATCTTATTTGTATATAAGAGAAGGAAAACATGAAAAAAAACCCTATACCAACCCGTCTGGCCAGCGTGGTATAGTAGGCCAAAACCTCCTTTTCAAGGAGAGGCCTATGTCCAGCAGTGGACTATTAAAGGCTGTTGTTGTTGTTGGTAGAATCAATGTATAGTGCATTATCGGGCAGTCAGTTCTTAATCGCAATTTAAAGATCACTTTTACACGCTACGCCTTCAAATATGGAACAACAACCAAATCAAATCGTTTCCAAGTTGTACAATTTAGCTAAATAGTGGGTTTTACACTTCTTTAATTTTCAATCAACGTGCGTCTACGTGACTAACATTAAAAGACCAAAATCAGTGTTTGTTTTTAAATTAAATACTAGACGAGCATTGCTATACCTACACATATATAACTGAAACCTTTTAATTTAACATTTGATTTCATCCACAACTGACGTGCGAAACGATTTCTTAATTCTTTTGCGTTCGTTTCATTACGTAAACCGATAGAATATGTGATTCTTTGGTAATGCGTCACTATACTAATCGCATTTACTATACATCCTCAGAATTGTAGTAAACAATATACGTTTTAGATTACTACTTAGTAATTCGTAACTTTAAACTTTATTGTTCTTTAAAATAGTTGTACGTAAACAATAACTCATGTTTTCATAGTATGTAATGTATTGGAATGCCTTCATATGATATTATGCCTATTTGTTGATATAATGTTCTCTTGCGGAATGTGCAGGCTGATGCACAATTCGCTCTCTTTAAATAAAAGGAGAAGCCTCGCCGGTCGAAGTAGTCATGATCATTTTGATTCATCATCATATTACAGATGTTATAAATAACTGATGACTCTTCAGGACAATTTTATTACCATCATGAAACATAAGAATCGTTCGTTATACTCTCCTTCTCTATATTACTCATGAGTCTTGGTGTAATTTTGATCGGTAACTAGTGAGTGTGTGGTTAATTTTATGGAAGTTACAATATAGTTCATGTGGCAGTGATAAAAAAACATAGCTGCACTTTTTTGAAGTGAAAACATCTTTAGGCGCGTTGGTCATTTTTGAATAACAAACATGTAATGTATTTCTTTAGATGGGAAAAAACCATTGAACTCGCGATACTGTTACCGTTACCGACACCTCTGTACATAAGTATTTATATATTGGCCCCGTTTACACGAAAGTTGAGTATGGGTTGAAATACATAGATATATAGCATAGATATATATCTATGTCGGAACTTTTCGCATCGAAAAAAAACAAAAAAAACCTGTTAAAATATATTTTTTACGTTTAATAAAAATTATGTGACATAAAAGTTACGATGAAGATAAGTAATCTTATCAATCAAGACTATTATGAAATTTATTTGACTCAGGGGTAGTACTATTTGTCAACCTAGCAGAAGCAGGCCGGAGTGGCGGCGAAAAACGCCATGGAGCGAGCACGCCCTTTCGGGAACATGGGGGTGCCCACACAGGAGGGGGCGTCTACTGGCCGTAGATGGCCCGAGGTACGTCGGGGTGCCAGAGATTTCCTTTCTGGGCTACACCTGGTTACTGGTACCCGAGACCACCGGTCGGTGGTATCCGAGGGCCTTTCCTCACTGAAAAAAAGGGGTAGTTATATTGTATTATATAATAAACGAGGTAGGAAAATGGTATGAACATGGGTGAAAAGTGATCATGCGTAAATCAAAAAGTACTCTTTCTAGAACCTTGTTGGCCTAGTGGTTAGTTATCCTGACTGGATTCCCACCCCGGACATGATTGTGGGATGAGCACGATTATTTGCCCTGAGCCTGAGTGTAATTTATATCTATCTTTAATATTTAGAAATATATAAGTATGTCTATCAGCAGTCAGGTTACCACAGCAAAGGCCTGGTTTGGGATCAGACGGCCTTGTGTGAGCTGTGTGAAGTTGTTATAAAAAATACAATGCAATGAGCTGAATACGTCGACATATTCAGCTCATTCCACTGCATACTATGTAATATTATGTACAAAGTATTATAAATCCGTATGATCATTGTTAAACACATTTTACTATTCAAGTCGAAATATTTAATAGATACCGACGTCATAATGACGACATTCTTGCGATAGTAGTGACCACGCACTGAGTCAGAGATCAAAACTAGAAGAAGTACATTGTCATTTTATTTTATTACTTTAATATTAATGTACATTTTAGTTTTATAACTCCATTGTCACTGAAATAATGTCGCACAAACAAAATGGATTACGGTATAAACTTGGTATAACCTAGATAAAATTGAACACCTATTGATTAATATTGTATTTAATTAAACGCAAGTATAAAATTGTCTGACTTTCTTCACTCCGTTACGAGTATATTTCCATTTTGTAAGTTACATAGTAAAGACGTCTATTCTAGGTATGTCTATTTCGAGAATAAGTTACCACAGATTTAAATCTGAAAACCTGTTTGTATTTTTTTCGTATGCAATAAATTTTCAAAATCTCAATCGTTTTTTAATCTTCTTCAAAGTTATCGGTGAAAATTTGGCGGTGACTGCACTCCAGGAATGCAATACGGGTTGGAATCTTGAATGAAAAAATGCTTACACTTAACATATCTCCAAGAGTACTGTTTACCATACCTACTGATGGTTGATTAGATGGTCTATGAACTTAGCTTTTTGTTTCAAGAACAGTCTTCGTTGGCTCGTGATACATTATAATGTCTACGTATCATTTTACCTAATAACTTACCGTGTTACACATGATTAATGATTTGGTGCGGAATATAGACGCCATACTAAAGCATCGTGATTATATGAAAAGTGAAAACGGTTGTATTAATTGCTGATATTTTCTATCACATGGTGCAATTGTGTTATGACACTAAAATAAACCTTATTGTATCCTTAAATTTGCATTTTTGTGCATTGTGTTTTAAAGATGTTAATAAACTTAAAACCTTAAGTACTCCCTATAGGAGCAGGCAGGCACTATAGGAGCACAGCTAAGACGTTAATAGACGTCAAGCAATTAAGTGTGCTCCATGCAAATATCTTCTTGAAAAGATCACACTTTGATTGGGATGCTAGCTTAGTCATAAGTTTAGCGACTTCAAGTATGGACGAAGGTAACATAGGCCGGGATTTCTCCTATGATATTTACCAGTCTGAGGGTTTAGAGTGAGTTTATTTCAAATCAACTAGCTTTCGACGGCAAGCGCGTTCGGCGTTGTGTTTAGTGAAGATTTCAGTGCGGCCCAATCACAACGCCGACCTCTCCGACGGTAAAAGACTTACTATCTCATACAAATGTAATGAAAATGTGAAACGCCCAACTACTCCTACGTACAATTTAAACACGAAATTGTGCAGTGGGAGACTTTATTACTATGAGTTTCAACTGGCTTAGCGTTTATCTGTCATACTCTTATGCGTATATTCGTACAAACAACAAATGTTTGCGCTTTTCACCTTGACGAGTCAGACTACTTTCAGACAGTATAACTATAACAACAATATTTTAAATGTGTAATTATTTCCTTAGTTATATAAGCAGATAAAAGATTATAATCTTTGAAAATTAAATAATATTTTAAATATTATAAAGGAATCGTCCTTATGTTTAAGATAATGGTAAACACCATTGAACTGATTTGAATTTTGTTTTTACGATCCAGATTACACGATCAAATCCTATAAATAAAAAGTATGTAAAAAACATTATATCCAGTTTAAAAATAAATAGAGTATTTCAGAACATATTATATTTTTGTTACAGGTTACCACAGCTTGCCGTCTCTGCAAAGATATTGTGCCTCCTGATGGTATGTAAAACAGACTTATTTCTTACCATTATTATTCATAATTTGTTCTATAATTCTCTTAATAAGAAATGGAGACTTATTGATATTTATTTGTTTTATTTGTATACTCACATGATTTCTAATGCGAAAATAAAAACGAAGCGGCAGGAAATTCTCTCACTCTTCGTAAAGCTTGCAAACTTGATGTTTCAATCTTCTTTCAAGTCTGTCTTTGTTTAAAGTACTTTGCTCAAAACATGAAAATTAAAAAAATATAGTTTTAGGGACATTTTAATCAATATTTTTTCACTCAAATTATTAATAAGTTTTTTATCTATAGAAAAATCTGCTACTTTATTTTCTAACTAAATACATCTGTTGGTCTCGTACACTAAGAAATAAATTTAGCGCAGACCATAAATTTAGAAATTAATGCTCAATTAATTTGCAATAAAATAAATTAGTTGTGACCATAAAATTCGTTAATGTAGTGAGAAGCTTCTGTTTAAATTAATAAATACAAAATTAAAACTTTAAGGCTAACGTGTTTAATCATTAATATACAACTAATGTTTACAACAGCAATCTATAAACTTCGCTACTGTGTTGTTAAACCATTAAAATATTTTTTGTTAATAAGTAACTTATAGCCTCACGATATCAGTTTCTTATAAATATGTGGGCCATAAATTAATCATAGTCAAGTCACAAATTAAACCATTAATTGATAGGTAGAGTATCTCATTTTTAATTTCAGTATTTATTGTTTGGCTTCTTCCACTTCCTTATCTATATTAGTATAAATAAAGCGATTATGAAGCTATATTTCGAAGATATCATAAACTTAGATAATTTTCTGTTTAATAGGTATTGTTAGAGGGTTCAATCTTCTCTTTTGTCACCAGTTGAAGTAGTTTATACTTTTTATCTCAAAGTTTCCAGTTCAAGACTAGACGTTTTGTGAGTGAGTCCAAATTATATGTGATAAAATTTAAAATATCTCTGCTTACCTTATTGGGGATTCAAGCATGGGTTAATGTTTGTTACTACCAGGTAAGAAACTTATAATAGCTCATTTTACCATTTTTAATTCGCTTGAGTTATATTTTACCACTACATTCTTTAAGTACTTATAGGCAGTGGAGATACTTAAGATATAAGTATAAAATACCCGTGTAGATCAACTAACTCAAAGATGAAGAGATGGCTCAATAATCTTAGTTGATATAATACTCAAATCAGTTACTTCAACCATTATGTTATTATTAGTATGATTTCTTAATAGAAGTTTAGATTTCAATTACGAATTAACATTACGAATAGATTTGCTTAATTTAAATTCCATACACAGATTATATATTCGTGTTCACAGGTTTGAAGCATAAACTAATTTACGTAATATGTAAAAAGGTCACTTAACCAATGTAAAGGATTAGTAATTTCAATCGTAGTCATTTTATTCACATTAGCTTAGGTTTAATGAGAAAACGTCTGCCGGTTAGACGTGCTATCGATACGACCCGTTTCAGTGCAGTAAATGTTCCGAGAAAGTTTAAGCTACTTCTCATAAAACATACAATCTATGGAATTAGCATAAATTGTCAAAGAAATCATCATTCCTGGTGGTGATCTCTAAGAGAGTCTCAACAGAGTTTGGAAAACTTGGTTTTCCTAAAGGGCTTTTAAAAAGGTCGCTGATGTATTGAATAACTTTGGAATAGTTTTTGTCAGTATTTTTAAACAATTTTAAAAAAGGGGGAACTATAAGATTGATAGAGCTATTAGCATTACTGAACTAGCAGTAAGTATCTAAGTACCTCATTGGAATTTTATTAATATTATATCAGGGTTGAGCGGGAGACTCATCCCATTCATCCCTTTATTTTGATTGATTGATTTTCCAGTGATCTGGTTAGTCAGTATATCAACCATGTTCCACAGCATTCAACACAATCTTAAATGTGTTTTTTTTGCATTTATTACATTACTTTTATAGATTATCGAGTAACTAGTAACTGGCATTTGAACTTTTGTTACAAGATTCCATTTATATGTTGAAGAAAAACTGTTATTTCTATTTTTAATGATTTGATGAGTACCACTAATTCGGCAGTCAATTGAATCATTAGTCATAAGCAATTGATAATGTTCTCGACTTGCCTCTTATGATATACCTTTGCTCATTGAATTAAATTAAATTAGTTTCGATTTGTTCTTTAACGATTGAGAGCATCTAAGAGTGTTTGATGTTCATCATATCATTGCTTGTTTACTTTAAAACTGTTAGAACATCGTGACCGATAACAATTTATATACAAACAAACGAACGTTTTACATTCTTGTAAAACATAAATATTGGAAACCTGTATTATGTATTTGCACAAATATGCCATTAATGGAGTCTCGTCTTCAGAATTATCGACATTTCACTTTTTATAGACATAGCAACCTACTTTGGGAATTGGCATTTTATAATAATATGGTACCAGGAAAATGGTTATTTAATTCGAGAAACTTTTCCATTTGTTGTAATCATGGAGTATTTTTTTATTTGAGTTTGATTGTGATCATTGCTAACATATTGAGACCCCTCCGTGCCTCGGAGAACACATTAAGTCATCGCCATCGGTCCCAATTACCATACGAACACCAATGGCAATCGTTACGGGTAGTAGAGCCCTAAAAAGTCCGACAACAGTATATCTACAGAACTTCGATATCGCCTTGTACTTGGGTTGTGGCATGCATGTGGCATTGGGTTGTGGATGGCAGTCGCTCCATGTAAAAAGTCGAAAGTCGCGTAGTGGACTAAAAGTCGACCTCAATCTATTTTGGGATACAGGCTCAGAGGATGATGTATTGTGTTCCTAAAACACCTGTAAGTAGATCACTTACAGTTTTTTCCCACTTATAAGAGTCAATGAATCTTATCATGTTGGTAGATTAGATTGTTTGTTGTCTGACGCCTTAAGTATTGGCGCTATCGCCAATACTTATTTATTATTGTCGGCACAATACGATATTCAAAATAACTACGATAAAATAAAATATGGTTAATTAATTATTAAAAAATAGATATTATTATTCCGTACGGTGTGGGCAGCTAACCAACATTAATATGTGCGTTACATTAATAGATGTAACATTAATAGATGCGTTTTTGGTTTTCATTGACTGGGAGTTTTAATATACTTTACGTCTACTTATAATGGTTTAGAAGTCTTGTAAAGAGTATTGCCCGTCTTTAACGCTTTGTAAGCATACAACTAACAGAACGAACGATCTAGAATTAAAATATTAAGTAGTCTTTAGATTCAGGCGCTGTTAAAATGAAATGTAAGCCCATATTGTATTATCAAAACAAACATAGTCCAGTATAATAATAAATTGCTTAAAAAAACGACGGTTGAAAAATAGAACGAGATACTGTCAATCGCAATTGTAATAATATTTCGAGGTTCCGTATTTGTATTACACAATCACCTCGACTTTGACGTAGTGTCACATCGCTATCTGACGTATGACGGTAATAAATCAATCTGTCACTTCTACTATTAAATAAGCAATTATCTATTCAGTAATGTAATTTAATATTGATTTGACAAGTCGATTATAATTTTGTTAGAGTTTAATAAACTTAGTTAAGATATATTTAGCAACTGCTTCGAGTAGGAATTTTAAATTTCTTATTTACTTGAATCATATACATATACTTCAATGTCCTAACTGCAAAATATAAATATTTAGACCCCCCCTGACTATAATCAGTTCACTACTTACTCCTTTTCTAGCGATATCCTCCTTCACATAATACATCCATCTTTGGTTGTCCTCTACTCTCATATTCGTCAACCTTCATACCTAAAATTGTCTTCACTACATTTTGCTCATCTCTATGCATCACATGTTCATACCAGAATAACTTGTTGCTTCTCAGCTTTCCATCCACTGGTGCCACTTTCAGGCTTCCTCTAATGTATTCATTCCTCATCTTGTGCATCCTTGTCACACTACACATCCATCTTAATATTCACTTTTCAGACACATCCAGGCGTTTTTCATCCGTATTCTTCATTGGCCAAAACCCATATCTATGTAGGACAGCAGGCCAGATGATCGTCATTTTATTATCTATTTGTCCTTTTAATTGAATGAACTTGGGATTACAAATTTTTGTGTCCTGTTACCTGTCGCCACATAATTCATCCTGTATTGATTTGATGCTATACATACCTATCTATTTCGCAATAATTTTGTAAGAGCGAGCCAAGGGACTTTAATACTACTAATATTTAGCTGAATGGAACACCATTCAGCTAAATATTTGCAAGACACTTATAATTCACAGTTAACATAACAGTTTATTTTACTGCTTTTTATTTATAATTGTTATAAATATGGAATTTTCATTGAATACAATGAATAGTGTCTAGGAATGACTAACATGTCATATAAGTGTCTTTCAATTTATTAAATAGGAAACTATACATTAGAAATACGGCCATTATAAGTGCTTATAAGAGTCTCGAAGAACCTCGTAAACTCCAGCGATTAGACATGGTGGTATGGATAGTTATTACCACCGTAAAATGCAAATAAAAGTGACCCCTTCTTATCGTCAATACTCATACACGGAACCAACAGGGAGCGGAATAGTTTTAAAATAGCTTTATTTGGTATTACGCAGAGCTGGCATGAAATTTTTACTTAACTAATGCCATCTATGGAAGGGGAACTGAAATACCCGGAACAACTTTGTCCTTATTCTTCTTTTAAATTAATCATGCATTTTCATAATTCAGATATCAGGCCGGTTTCCAAACTGTCTCAATATTGCGCATTTATTCAATATCACAGTGACGGATGAACGAAGACCATACTCCAAGGTGATGAGCCAGACCAAATTGGTAAACTTTATAAACCTTCAGTCGGACATCATACTGACAGAACTGCAGGTTTCTTAAACGAAGAAGTGAATCCTAATATACAAATTCTCAGATGTTTCAGTTACTCATTATTTT